TAATAATCCAATTAAAAAATGGACAGAAGACATGAATGGACACTTCATCAAAGAGGATATTCAGGCGGCCAGCAAATACATGAAGAAATGCTTATGATCATTATCCATGAGAGAAATTCAACTCAACACAACGAGATATCATCTCACCCCAGCACTAATGGCAAAGTTCAACAAGACAGAAAATGGTGGATGCTGGTGAGGATGTAGAGAGATTGGGACTCTCATACACTGCTGGTGGGACTGTAAAATGATTCAACCTCTGTGGAACACAGTATGACGATTCCTTAAAAAGCTGGAATTAGAAACATCATGTGACCCAGTAATCCCATTACTAGGTATATATCTGAAAGAAATGAGAGCCAGGACAAGAACAGATATATGAACACCCATGTTCATCACAGCACTATTTACAATAGGAAAAAGATGGAAACAACCTACGTGCCCATCAACAGAAGAATGGATAACCAAACTGTGGTATATACACACAATGGAATACTATGCAGCCCTAAATAATAATGTAGAGTCTGCAAAGTACCACATAACATGGATGAACTTGGAGGACATTATGCTAAGTGAAAGAAGTCAATCACAAGATGGACAAATATAGTATGAGTTCATTACTGTAAAAAGTCATGGAAAGGTTTATATATGGAAGGGAACTTTCTTTGTTGGCCATTGGGGTGGGAGGGGAGGGGACACTGCAAAAAAATGCATTGACACATGTCACTTTAGTTTTGTGTATTTCACTGTACATAAATTATATTTCAATAAATGCATTTAAAAAAATTAAAAAGAAGTTATGAGCTAAAACAAAAAAAACTTATCAACAAAGATATCATTATAAATGTAACAAATATGAGTGAGACCTCTTTATAGTAAAAGAACACTATTGGCAGAAATTGAGGATGATCTAAAAAATAAAAGGATATGTTATTATATTCATGGATTGGAAAACTCCAATATCGTTTAGATGTGAATGCAACCAAAATTGACTTAATGATTTATATCTCAGCAGAATATTTGTGAAAAGTAAAAAACTGTTTTAAAATTCATACAATAGACAAAATAATTTTTTCAAAAAATTGGAGAACCTAGACTGCCAGATATGAAGACTTTTATAAAGCTACAGTTATTAAAATATATCTATTGAACCAAATATAGACAAACACACCACTGGAACAAAACAGAGTCCAATAACAGACTCATTTTCACATACATATATATAGGTAACTTACGAAAAGTTGTCACCACAGAGTAGTGAAGAAATGATCTTGTTAAAAAAAAGTTTCTAAGTCAATTATATATTTAGATGACCAATAAGCATATGAAAAGCTTTTTAATATTATTAATCATCAGAGAAATGCATCACACAGCTACAAGAATGGCAACTAACAACAGCAACAATAACAAATAGAAATACTAAGTGTTGTTAAGAATGTAGAATAACATGAATTTTCAAATATTGCTGATTGGAACACTTCCTATAACTAAAGATATAACTACTCACAACATGGATAAATCTCACAGGCATAGCTTCAAGCCATAGAATCCAAACACAAAAGAGTCCCGACTGTATGATTTCATTTGCATAAGCATTCACAAAAAGTCAATACTAGTCCATGGCAACAGAGATCGGAACAATGTTTATCTTTAGAGTGGGTGTGGTGGTTATGTTTGTGTGCCAACTTGGCTAGGCCTGGTTGAGTGGCTAGGCAACTGGATGTAGTATTCCCCATGATGAGACTGGTAATCAACTCCATGATGGAATCTACTATGAGCAGCTGAGTAGCTGCCTTTGGGTATGTGGTCTGCCTCCTGTATATAAGGAGAAGTTTTGAGAATGGTCTCTAGCCTATGGCACGCTTAGACCCTGCATGTAGCCATGTCATTGCTCAGCAGCCTGCAATGCTCTGCCGACCTAAGGACTTACAATGGACTTAAGTTAAAGCCCTGCCGTGTGGTTTGGTAACATCAGGACTGTGCCTTTTTACTTGTCAACGTTGGGGCTTCTCAGCCTCAGCAGCTAGCAGCTACCTGAGTGAAGAAATGCCTCTTGTTCCAGTGGGCCAGGAGCAGGAGGCAGAGCTGGACCCAAAGGTTAAGGGGCTTTCACTCAGCCCCTAGAGCTTGGCATTTTGAACTTGGACTTAAAGCCTTCAAATTGTAAGTATAAATTCCTGTTTGTTAAGGCCATTTCACTTGTGGTATATTCCTGTTAGAGCTGCACCAGGTAACCAGAACAGTGGGTGTTCACTAAGAAAGAGTCATTGAGGTGTTGGGAATGTCCTATAGCTTTTTCTGGGTGATGTTGTTGTTATATGCCGTAGAGTTGGCCCTGACTCATAGCAACCCCTCCTTGAGTTTCCGAGGCAGTATCACTATGATTACCCAACCTTCCCTCTGAGGAGTGGCTGGTGGGTTTGAACCCCCAGGCTTCTGGTTAGCAGTCAAGTGCCTTAGGCACTATGCTACCAGAGCTCCTACTCTGGATGATGTTGTTGTTATGTGCCATTGAGTAGGCCCCGACTCATAGCGACCCCTCCTTGGATTTCTGAGGCGGTATCACTACAGAAATAGAGTGCACAACCTTCCTTCCAAGGAGCGGCTGGTGGGTTTGAACCCTCAGCCTTCTGGTTAGCAGTCAAGTGCCTTAGGCACTATGCTATCAGAGCTCCTACTCTGGATGATGTTGTTGTTGTTGCTATGTGCCATCGAGTCACCCCCGACTCATAGTGACCCCTCCTTGGGTTTCAGAGGCGGTATCACTATGGAAGTAGATTGCCCAACCTTCCTTCTGAGGATGATTGCTACACATAAAAAAAAAAAAAACCTCACTACCATCGAGTCCATTCTGACTCATAGCAAACTCAATTGGGTTTCCAAGGCTATGAATCTTACAGAAGTAGATTGTCTCATCTTCCTCCCACAAAGCAGCTAGTGGGTTTGAACTGCTAACTTTCTTGTTAACAATCTTATCCAGGCCACCAGAGCTCCTTGATAGTTACACAAGTGTTTACATATATAAAAATTCTTCAAGCTGTACTCTTAATATTTATAAACTATGTTTTGTTCATGTTTTGCCATGATTTAGAAACTTTTAATAATATTTTAAATTTCAATAACACAAGTTAACAGGCCATCAAAAAACTTGAGAAAATATGTGCAACATATGTGATTAAAATTATTAATATTCTTAATATCAATGAGCTTTTATAAATAAATAAGAAGAAATAGAGTATGAATACTAACACACAAAATGAATAGGGAATTCACACATGAAATGCAAATGATGGAGACGTGAAAAGCTCTTTGAGATGCTTAATTTTATGTGTCAACTTGGATAGACTATAGTACCAGTATTTTTTGTCAAATGCTAGTGTAGATATTGCTGTGAGATATTTACATGTGATTAGCATTTAAATCTGTTGGCCTTAAGTAAAGCAGATAAATTACTCTCCATAATGTAGGTGAGCCTCCATACTATAAATACATATCCTGCCAGAATTTGTGTCCGTCGTTTATCATCTGACCTACTGATTTGGGAAAGAAAAAACAAGATAGTTGGAATTTCTAGTCTGTCACCCAAAATAGGGATTTTGGACTTGCCAACCCCCATAATCGCATGAATCTATTTCTCAAAATCAATCAATCACTCTCTTTCTTGATATATAAACATATATCCCCCTGGGTGGCAGAAACAGTTTGCACTCCATTACAAAAGTTAGGATGGAAACCCACCCAGTATCTCCACAGAAGAAAGCCCTGGCAATCTGCCTCCATAAAGATTACAGCCAAGAAAACTCTATGGAACTCCCTTCTGTAACAACATGGACTCACCATGAGTGAGTGGGAATCAACTTGACACAACAGTTTATCTATATGTATGTCTATTTTACTGGCTGTTTCTCTAGTGCATCCCAACTTTACATACTCACTAACAGCCACACAATTCTGAGAGCATCCTACAATATTTTCACTTAGCAAAGAGGCAAGGGTGGAAAAAAAATAGATAATTTGTAAGGTTGTTGTTGTTGTTATGTGCCGTCAAGTCAGACCTGACTCATAGCGACCCCTCCGTGGGTTTCTGAGACAGTATACTACGGAAGTAGATTGCCCCATCTTCCTTCTGAGGAGTGGCTGGTAGGTAATTTGTAAGGTTAGTGAGTGTTTAAGTAAACAAGTACTGGCCTATATTTTTTATAAGGCTATAAATTTTCACAACCTTCCTGGAGTTAATCTGTTACTATGCATTAGGATAATCTTTCTAATATGTATTAAAATATAAAATATCTATATACTTCAACCCAGCTAATCAACTTCTATGGATTTATATTAGGAAAATGATTATCAATTATCAGTAATAGCACTATATTTTTCAAAAAAGGAGCACTGGTGGTGTAGTTGTTAAGTGCTCAGTGGCAATCTGCTTCAGTAAAGATTTACACCCTTGGAAACCCTGTGGGGCATACCACTCTGTCCTACAGGGTCGCTGTGACTCTTATGATCAGAAGAATCACCTGGGGATCTTGTTAAAATGTAGATTCTTATTCAGTACATCTGGGGTGGAAATGCAAATTCTCAGCACGGGTTCAAAGCAGAATGAACGGGTCCAAAGCCCTGTTTTCAAGAAAATTCCAGCTCAAGTTTGGTTCTTTTGGGGGTATAGTGATTATCTTCTGACATAATATGCCCCGTTACGTTGGGAAAATATTAACACCATAGATTCAGTTTAGTACATGTTTGAACATTATTTCTTAGTTTCTATCTAGTACATTTGCTGTTGTTTGTTGTAATGTGCCGTTGATTAATAGCCTCTACATTAAAATCCAAATAAGAGAGAATACAGTCCATTACATATTGTTCTTGCTTTAAAAATTGCTTGTGATAAAGAAGTTTTTATTTTAATGTTTTCCTGGATATTTTAAAATATTGTTTGATAGTATTTTTAGGAAACCATGTAATTGGGTAAAGAAAATAATATAATGAGGTAAGAATCTCACCATTTAAACTCTGTCCTATTCGCAGAGTACCAGAAGCAAAATTGGTAATTGCACCATTCAGAGTTCTTGCATCAAAAGCTGTATTATCTTCTTCCAAACCATTGATGAAGAAACTGACTTTTGTCTGATCCACCTATAAGAAATAATCATCATTATCATTTTAAGTGCACAAACTCATTTTATACCATGTCTGAGCTATCTTTTTCGAATTAATCTCCTACTTCTCCACTTTCTTCATTGGGGAAAGTGGAACGATGTACTTTATTTTAATGGATCAATGATATATCTGTGTTTTTCTAATCATGGAATACCAGATCTACAGAAACTGAAGAAATTTTCCCCAAGAGACAATAGAAACAGGGCCTTCCACTAGAGCCAGTGCCTTGAATTTGGGCTTTTAGCCTCCCAAATGGTGAGAAAGTAAATTTTGTTCTTTAAATCCATCTGCTCATGGTATTTCTGTTATAGCAGCACTAAGCAGCTAAGACAGATGGTATCTACCAGGGTATTCACAGGTATATACAATTGTTTGTCCCATACACTTAACAGCTTACATTGCTACGAATTCATAAGTGTTTTAGGTTATACCATTTCTAAATCTCATTAAATTTGTTATAGCCAGATTGAGAAATACATACAATGGGAAGAAATACCTAACGGCAGATGTATCAAAAATGTATGTATTACACATGGTTATAACTCAATTTAAGTTTCTAGTACAAGATATTTATAATATTTACTTTATGAGGTGTTGGTATCCAGTTAGTAAATCTTCAGCTATACTCACCTGAAACTGATTTATAGAATGAAAGTTTTATGTAGAATAACTAAGAAATTTGCCAAGTCTCTTATAGGATAATCAATTGAGCAATCTGACAGCTATCTACACCAGGAGTTATCAAACTTTTTCTGTAAATGCCCAGAGAATAAATATCTTTTCTTTAGGGGCAAAACAGTTTAACTTTGCAGGCCAAATGATCTCTGTTACAACTACTCAGTTCTGCTCTTACACTGCAAAAACACCCATGTTGTTGTTGTTGTTGTTACATGCCACCGAGTCAGACCTGATTTATAGCGAACCCTCCTCGGGTTTCCGAGGTGGTATCACTACGGAAGTAGATTGCCCAGTCTTCCTTCCAAGGAGTGGCTGGTGGGTTTGAACCACCAGCCTTCTGGTTAGCAGTCAAGTGCCTTAGGCACTACGCTACCAGAGCTCCTAAAACACCCCTAGATAATACTTAAAGAAATGGGCATGCTTGTGTTCCAGTAAAACATTATTTTAAAAACAGGCAGCCAACCAAATCTGACCTGTGGGTCTTATTTTGAAGACCCATGAATTGCACCATAAAAAGTTACCGAATTTTTGTTTGTAGGATGTGATCTCTAAATAGCAAATATAATTCGGTCAATATGTGTAAAGTACTTCACTCAAGATATATATACAAATTCTTCCAAGATGGCATATATTTCTGAATAAACTGATAGCTGTTTGGACATCACCTTTAGTCTCTACAAATAGTCCCTCTGCTCAAGTGCTTTTAAAGGAAATGTAAAAGGATGATTGGCATTCTAATTAGTAAAGGTGCTGAAATGGCAAACAAAAGACTTTGTAGAGAAAGAGTAAAGTAATGTCTTATAATTGAAAGGTTTAATGCTAAACATTTTAATGGAAAAAAATCAAATCATAGCATTTAAAATGCTTTTTCTACTTAAAAATCCTTTCAGTAATTGGTGAAGATAAATATATATTTTCAAATACCTTTAAGTCATTATGCAAATGATTGTCTTAAGAACACCTTTCAATAAGCCCTCTCCCCCTTCTCTGCCCTCCCAAAAATTTAAAAAAAAAAAAGTCTGGAAGTTAACATTATAATTACTTCTTGTTGTTGTTGTTGTTATGTGCTGTGGAGTCAGCCCCGACTCATTAATTCTTCAAAAAGTTATCCATGTGGCTTTTCTCCATTATAATCAACCTGCTTTCATTTTAACTATGTTCTTTCTTAAGTCTACCAGCCCAAGGCTACATTTTATTTAATTTTAAAACAAAGCTTTAACAAACACAAAATCACACACCAACTCCTCATGGGCCTGGATATATATACCTCTTGGCTCAATAGTAGGGCTGCATTTTTTTTTTTTTTTTTTGCATCCCATTTTTTACAGCCTGTTACTGTCATTTGGTGTTTGACTGTTATCATTATAAAAGATACAGGCTTTTCTACTTTGTTATTTGTAGCATTATCTCATGTTTTACAACATCTTTGCGCAACATGCAGGCACATGAAATATAACTAGTGAAAAGTTCTCGGTGGTATTAATGCATAAAAAAGAATGTGGTTCCATCTCTACTGTCTTTACCCAGCCAAAAGCTGATGAACAGCCAATTTTCCTTTATCACATTAGCACAGCCATGAGGGAAACACATTTGTTCTAGTCAGCTACACTAAAGATACTATTACCAATCTAACATATACATGTTTTATATCAGCAGTATTCTCAGAGCATGAGAGAACCAACAATATATTAACACTAGCATGACAGTTTATTTAAGAAAAGAAAATTGTCTCTGTAGAGGGACAGAAGTTAGAAATGTATGGCTAAAGCTCAGTGTCACTGGTCTAATAAAGGTAATAATTCTTAGGCTTTCTTTATAGCAGGTAACACTCCTGTGACAATTTTGTCATATCATTCAAATAAAAATGTTGTCTTTTACAAGTTTAAGTGCACCTTTATTTTGAGTCAGATAGAAAGCATGTTTTTGATTTTCTGTATTCACTGTATTATATCTGTAGTCAAGAGTTCAAGACCTTTTATTTTTTTATCAACTCATCACCTATTTACTTAGTAGAAGGATTCTGTGTCACTTGTGAATTCCAGAAGGATGTTTTCACTTTGTTGGTACTTAAAAAATGATTAATGATGATCCTAAGTCACTCTATTCCATTGTCCCCTCCCCTACCAACAACCTTTGTATAAATAAGAATAAATCTTCTTCGGTTTCCTATACCATGTTTTATATTCCAAGATTCTCTAAACTATTTTACAATTCTGATCTGGGGCCCCATCACACTGAAATTGTAAAGACTCAGGTGGCTTTCTGCAATAGCTCATTCTGATGATACCCTTGCCAGTTATTTAGGGGGATAGGAAAATATACAATGGAATTTGTGAAAAGAAAGCCTCCTGGTAAAGTAAACTTCCCACCAACTCATCCTCTGCCCCTGAGAATTAGAGGTGCTGCAACATGTTCATTGGTGTAGCTGGAATGAATGAAATGACAAAACCAGTAGCAGTTGTAGAAAAGTCTTGAAATCCCTTCATCAAAAAGATGTTGGAAAGAAAATAAGGGGGAGAGGGTCATCCTCAAGACTTTCATATTTCATTCTAACCTTTTGTTATTATTATTGTTTAATTGGGGAGCTCTAGTGGCATAGTAGGAGCTCTGGTAGCATAGTGGCTAAGGCACTTGACTGCTCACCAGAAGGCTGGCGGTTCAAACCCACCAGCCACTCCTCGGAAGGAAGGTTGGGCATTCCTACTTCCGTAGTGATACTGCCTCGGAAACCCAAGGAGGGGTCGCTATGAGTCGGGGCCGACTCGATGGCAAACAACAACAACAACAACAACAGTGGCATAGTGCCTAACGTATTGGACTGCTAACCAGAAGGCTGGCGGTTCAAACCCACCAGCCACTCCTCAGAAGGAAGACTGGGCAATCTACTTCCATGAAGATATCACCTCAGAAACACAAGGAGGGGTAACTCTGAATAGGAAATGACTCGATGGCAGTGAGTTATTTTGTGTGCGTGTGTGAGAGAGAGAGAGAAAGAGAGAGAGAGAGATAAGTTGTACTGGTCCTTTTGTAGTGATAGAGTGTATTAGATTAAAAAATAAAAAGAATTCCTGACATCCTCCCATGCTTGATTTAAAAAATAATTACCATTGAGTAGATTCCAACTCAAGATGACTCGATGTGTGTTCCATAGAGTTTTCAATGGATGATTTTTCAGATGTAGATTTAAAGCTTTTCTTCTGAATTGTTTCTAGGTGGATTTGAACCTTCAACCTTTCTGTTAGCAGCAGATTACGGTAACTATTTGTACACCCCAGGGTCTCCCCTGGGTGATAAGTGGGGAGTATAATTCAAAAGACCAGATTGTAACACAATTTCTGAGCAACTTCCAAGGAGAAAATATAATCAAGTCCACTTTGACAGAGTGTAGTGATTTCTTACAATCACTTGTTCCACTGAAATGCCAAATCTTTTTTGTTATCTTGCTCCTGTTGGCTACCAACAACCAAAATAAACTACTGATTCAGGATAGGATACAAATAAGAGTAACTGTGCTGACTTCTTCCCTAGAGAAATGGTTTTGCCATTACCTACATCCTTCCAGTTTAAGTTTATTTTAATTTAAGCATCAGCCTAGTACCCACAGTGACACCAAAAGAAGAAAGTCATGATACTTTCTCTCAAGGAGCTTGTATGTATGAAAACTATGGAATAATTTTAATACACTGGATAAAAACCAAACCAAACTCACTGTTATCGAGTCGATTCTGGCTCATAGTGACCCCTCCTTGGGTTTCCAAGGCAGTATCTCTAAGGAAGTAGATTGCCCAACCTTCCTTCCAAGGAGCAGCTGGTGAGTTTGAACCACCAACCTTTTGGTTAGCAGTCAAATGCCTTAGGCACTATGCCACCAGAGCTCCCAAATACACTAGACAGTGTAAAAAAACAAGCAGAAAAAATCTACTGCCATTGAGTGGATTCTGACTCATAGTAACTCTCTAGGACAAAGTAGAACTGCCCCATAGAGTTTCCAAGCTATAAATCTTTAAAGAAGCAGATTGTCTCATCTTTCCCCCACAGAGTAACTAGTGGGTTCGAACTGCCAACCTTTTGGTTAGCAGGCCAGTGCTTTAACCACAGTGCCACTAGAGTACCTTAGATAGTGTTAGGATGACAATAAATGATAATAAGTGTTATTAACTTAAGTACTGGATCATAACACAGTTAATGAAGTGATATCTTTTGCAAGACGTTTCCCTGCAAAGTCATATATATATATATATATATATATACCTCCAAAATCAAACTTACCGATTCCAACTCACAGCCACCCCTATAGG